ATCTTCAAATCCCCATGTAACCTTCACCCCACCTGCATTTTGCAAATAGTCCATCAGCAATTAACCAATCTACTTTTGTTTTTGATTTTGCTTGAAGGTTTTTCATTTCAGCTAAATGGGTATGCAGACTTTATATGTACTAGACAATAGGAAAATTTCCCAGTGTACTTACATTGTTTCATCTCATTCAAATTTCCTTGTTTCATCTTTTTCAAAGTTTGAACGAGATGGACCAATATAAGAACTTTGGGAAATTGTCCTATTTTATTCCTCCATGTTGTATTTCTTTTATAGTTTCTTATGTTGGGTAAATAATGTTGTGATCAAAAACATTTCTGTCTTATTTTAGGTGGATATCAGTATTGACCAACAGTAAAGAAGAAGCTTTAAATATGGCCTTCCGTGGAGAACAGAGCACAGGGGAAAACAGCCTAGAGGATCTTACAAAGGCCATCATTGATGACATTCAGAGATTGTCTGGAAATGATGTCTGTTGTGACTGCGGATCACCAGGTACTTGGATATCACTTTGTGCGAGATAGGTGGCTATATAAATGTGCTATATAATAATATATAAATATATAAATAAATAATTTTTTAAAAATGTACAGTAACAATATCTTGCTTAGGAAATGTTTCCAAAGGTATGTTTGAATACACAGTCTAAAGTTGAACAAAAGTATCAAATAGCACTAGGTTTTTGCTGTTACATTAAACTATCCAAAAGCGTTGTTATTGCAAATAGAAAAGATTTTTTAACATTGTTCTTGTTTACTTTTGATTTTCTTTAGATCCAACATGGCTTTCAACCAACCTGGGTATTTTAACCTGTATAGAGTGTTCCGGAATACATAGAGAAATGGGTGTTCATATTTCTCGAATCCAGTCTTTAGAATTGGACAAATTAGGAACATCTGAACTCTTGGTAAACAGCTTTATAAAATAAGTAATATTCATTTGCTGTAATTATAAGAAAAAATTGACACAGACTGTGCTTTAGTAGATCTGCAGAAATCTATGTTCAAGCAGTTGAGACTGGAAGTGGTTTGAGGTGTTCCAGGATGTTCTGGCCCTGAAACAGATTGGTTTCATCTGCCACACTATGTCCAGGATACCTGGAACCTCATCCTATTTAGAGGATTTACTTCCAGAAACTGGGACAGCATGGTTTGGAAGAGGTTGGGCATTCTCAGGAAGTTTGGCATTGCCAGGAGATTCAGCATGTTCGAAATGAGAATGGGTTGGGGAACGCAAACTGAATTGAATCCGGACAAGAGAAATGTGTTGTTGGTAAACACAATACTAGACTCAGGCACTGAGGTTAATTCTGTTTTGGTTGGAGTTGCATTCCTCTTGACAGAGCAGGTTTGCAGCTGAGGATTATTCCTTGATCCTCAGCTCCCACTAATTTGCAGGTGACAGCTGTGATGAGGAGAACTTTGATGACCAGCATGCCAGCTGTGACTGTTCTTAAGCTGATTAGATTTGACTATGGTTACCAGGACTTGATTAAACACTGTCTTGACTGTTGTAACATGCTTTATGTAGAGCTACTTTTGAAAAGTGCCCAGAAGTTGTAATTAGTGTAGAAGTGTTAACTGAACTGCCTGACCATATGTTACCAAAATATCTTATCAGCTTCCAGTTCTTTCTAAGGTATAATTTAAGTTGCTGACTTAACTGCTTAGGGCCTTAAGGGAGGGAGCACATCTCCCTTTGCAAATCTTTCTGGCTATTAAGATCTGCAGAAGACACCTTTGGAATATGCTTCCACTCTCAGAGCTAATTTTTCTGGCACACCAAAGCAGGCCTCTTGCATTGCTCCTGGGCTGTTGAACATAAGACTTTCAAGAGTTGCATTTGCTTTCGCTCTCTTAGCATTTATAAAATTGCATTGAAGGATAGCTTGTAAACATGGGCTTAAACTATATTGTGGTTTGAAAGTCTTAGATTAATGGCAAATGTTTAATTGCATGATTTTTTTCATTTCATTCTTAGCTGGCCAAGAACATAGGAAATAATAGTTTTAATGAAATTATGGAGGGAAACCTACCGAGTCCCTCTCCAAAACCTACTCCATCAAGTGATATGTAAGTAATGAAAAAACTGCAATTAGCAACACACACACACATTAGGCTTGTGCAAATTGTTAAACACTTTGTTTGCAAATGATGTATTCCTCTGGATGCCCTTCTCAAAGCTGCAAAATTGGAGGGGGGCTGCTTCAGGGCCTTTCTGTAGGTTTTTTGGGTATGGTTGTGTGTAGTTTCTCAGAAAACATTGCTGCCACAAAAGCTGACAAGGAAGTTGCTGGTTTTCCAGCTATCCCATCAATGCATCGCACTAGTAGGCCATGGAACCCTCTAAGCATCTATGTTAAGCCTTCAGGTGGCTACTTCAAGAAGCAGATCCAGATGAAAGTTTATGCACTAAGGTTATGAGGAAATATTGGTATCAGGCTGTTTTTCAGATGTCATTCTTCACAACCTCCCCCCCCCCTTTTTACCCCCTAATGCTGTTCATGATGGTTATTCTGTTTAAAATTAAGGCTTGGAAGCCATTGTGTTGGAAATCTTAGGATTTGTGTTTGTGTAGGGAGTAGCTCAAGGTTTGTCTTGTTTGTTTTTCCTACTGTGGGCATAAGTGTCCAGACAATGAACTGTATGAGTCAGTGGTCTTCCTGAGTTTTCACTGAATGGTTTAATAGGGCCTCATTTGAGTAGCACTCGTACTTCCTTCTATAGTGCAGAAGTTCTTACATGAGGTCCTTCAGGAGCTTTACTCTCATTCTTTTTTAATCATCTTTTACAGTTTTTCTGGTTCTTCAAGCATTCCAAGCATCCCTTAATATACAGTGTTCAGATAATTATTGGTTACTTATCTGCTGAAATCTCACTTTGAAGAGAGAGATGTGATGAACACAGGAACTCTTGTTCCTATATTCACTGCATTGGCTGAACAGGGAAATGTTACCATCTATGGTATTGGATACCTCTGTTTTTAGGGTCCTAAATGTTTTGGAGAGGCATCTTCTGATGTGAAATTGTGAAAACAACCAGGGGACTCTGGAGACTAGATGAATAAACATGGCTAATTTTTCTTCAGTTTTCTTCTTGTTTAATCCTTCAAATTTAAGGTTTGATCCGAAATGTAAGTTGAATGTGATTATTTCTTTCAAAGTTAATGGTTTTGTTTTGTTTTGTTTTCAGGACTGCACGTAAAGAATTTATTACTGCTAAATATGTAGATCATAAGTTCTCCAGAAAGACCTGTGCATCTGCAGCAGCTAAACTGAATGAGCTGCTAGAGGCTGTTAGATCCAGGGATTTACTTGCACTAATTCAAGTCTATGCAGAAGGAGTTGAACTAATGGAGCCGCTGTTAGAGCCTGGACAGGTGAGATCTCAGACAAGTTACCTGAATGTACATATATTTAAGAAACACATGTATGCACCAAAAAATCTAAATCAAAAAATGAGGATTACGTCATAGTCATGATTTTTTGTACTTTTGCATATTTGCGTGTGTAGATATGCGTGTGTTATAAATGTGTATTGAAAATAGTTAACTTTAACATTTTTTACTCTTTCTTGTTTTAACCAAATACTTCTAAGTACCCCATTCCCACTGCCTTCAACTTTTATGTGACTCCTGACCTACCCAACTATTATTTCCATATAAGAAAGAAGGCAGCTGCATGTTCTTATACACCACCATTTTGCCCTCTTTAAAGAAACATTCATTTTTTACAACTATCTGTAATGTACCAATGACCTTTCTTCCAACATATGCACTTCTTACATATTTCTCCATCTATTTTCCCATAATATTCTACCAAGCTATGCCAGTGCACGCACTAGCTCTTGTTTTGTACCATTTAAGTAGAGGCGTTAATCCTTCACTCTGCTTTCCTTTTTAAAAAAACCCAAATAGCTTAGTCATTGATACATTCATTTCCAGAGCCACAATTCTTGATGAATATCCAATAATCACTGCAACTCATTCAGATTGTAGCCAGCACCTTTGCATTGATATGGGTTTTCAGCCAACAGCGTGGCCTCATCTGCAGAAAGAAGTAATCAAGCATTCACATCCCCAACTAACACATCTCTAATGTCACCACAAGCATTCCTTATATATTTAGCTATAAATATATGCAACCAGGGGGACCTCACACATAATTATCTTACTTCCTGCTCAGTGTTGATACATTTGCTGGGCATTCTGTCTATTCTATGCATGCTTTCCTTCCATTATATATCACTCTTATCTCATTCAGCAGCCAATTTACGACTCCATAGTGATGCAAAATAGGCCTATTCACTTTATCATACACTTTCTCTACAATATTGTAATTTTTTTCTTCACACGCATATGTTTCTCAGCAATCTGCCTGAAAGCAAAAATCTGATCTGCACGTCCTCTGCCCAGCATAAAACTACACTGTACTTTTCATCATTGTCATCTGTCATATCTTTTCAGTCGGAATTCAGCTTTGAAGAAACAAATGCCCCAGCGCTTTTGCATTCAGTTTTACTACCTTTCCTTCTATATCAAGGAACAATAATGTCAGTCCTCCCATCATCAGGCCCAGATGTTATCTTCACACACGCACATTAAGCAAGTCACGCAGCCACTTTGTAAGCAAACTAGACTCATATTGTAACACATCCCCAGTTACAGCCTCTATAGCAGCAATCTTGACAGCTTTCAACATTATCAGAAGATGGATGATTTTTCTTTAATTTTTCCTTGGACATTAACATGTACCGTATAAATATATTGTGGGCGAGAGTAATCATTTGCATCTTATCCGACACTTGATCAATACAAAAATTATCCTAGAGCTGTTAATTTGCAGCTCTTTTATCTGTCTTTAGGAGCCAGGGGAAACTGCACTTCATTTAGCGGTCCGGACTGCTGATCACACCTCACTCCATCTGGTTGACTTCCTTGTACAAAACTGGTAACAGCTCTTTGTTTATATTTTGGGGTATAAGCATTAAATGAGTTTCGCTCTGACTTTTATAGTGTCATCCCATGCATTACTCTCTCCCCACCCCCAAAGTCAGGGCTGGAGAACTGAATCCAGAAAAAGGGACTATAATGTCAGAGTAAAGAGTTTGAGGAAGGGGAGAGCCTGTCCCCTGCTGTCTTCCAAATGAATGAAATGAAAAGACAGCAGGGGACACACTATTTCCTGCTCTGAACTCTGAAACTTCTTTTTTTTAAGCTCAGGTTCACCACCAATTTATTTGAACTTGCAGCAGAATGTTTTTCAAAGTCTTCAGAATTTGTGGGGGGTTCGTTTTCTCACTTGTGGGAACTCTGCCCTCCCCCTTCAGCATCATGCTCCTGGTGTCTTCAGTGTCAGAGGAAATGTTGGATTGTTTTTTAAGTCATTAGACCAAACTAGAAATTTGGAAGGAGCAGAAGAAGGAAGCTAACAGCTGACTTTATTTCCCTTTGGTATGGAGTGGGGTGAGGAGATTTTTGATACCCCAGGATTGGTGGTAGCTCAGGGATGGGACATTGACTAGATAACTTTTGCATTCTCCCATTGGTCAGCTGGAGATGAGCACTGCTTGGTTCTTGGTGTTGCACGTTCTCCGCATTTCATCCCTGGTAGGAGTAATAATCAGCACAGGTTGGCTTCCCACTGATTTGTGAGGGCACAGGAAGCAGAAATACTAATGATGTGGAAATGTCCTCAGATGAATCAGTACATCCTTTTTCATTTCTTTTACAATCTAATTAAATGGAGAAACCTTTGAAAAAATGCAGAAAACCCCCCATAATCTTTGGGACATCAAAACATTACTGCAACTATTGCTGAGTTCTTTCAGTCCTTACAGTTGGAGGGTCCTGGGGGAAGGTTAAAAAAAAATCAATATGACAGCTGAAGCAGTTAAAAAAAAGGGGAAGGCTCTGATCACGTGGTCACAGGAGAAATATAGGAAAGGTGAGATCTTGACTGGTAGCCAGGGTACAGCGCCAGCAGTGCCAATACTTGTTGAAACTAAGAGTTCCGAGATTCAGAGCTGGAGATCCACAAAGTCAGTCAGAGACAAGGCGGGTCTAGAAAGTAGGCAGATAACAACATACGAGTCTGGGAAAATGGGGCAAGGCAGCAGCAGAGAAGCAAGCATAGTCTGTGTCAGTCTGTCACTCACGCCCTGGTCATCTCTTGTTTAGACTATTGCAATGCGCTCTACATGGGGCTACACTTGAAGAGTATCTGGAAGCTACAGCTGGTTCAAAATGTGGCTGCACGGGCAATTTTGGGTGCCCCAAGGATGGCACACGTAACACCTCTGCTGCGGGAGCTGCATTGGGTGCCAGTTTGCTTCTGGGTCCAATTCAAGGTGTTGGTTATCACCTTTAAAGCCCTATATGGCACGGGACCAGGTTACCCAAGGGACTGTCTCACCCCCATCATATCAGTCTGTTCCGCCCAGTCAGGCAGAGAAGGCATGTTACAGATCCCGTTGGCAAGAGAATGTCGACTGGCGGGTCGCAGGAGGAGAGCCTTCTTTGCCATTGCCCCCACCCTATGGAATACTCTCCCCCCAGAGGTGAGGTGGGGCTCTACCCTCTCAATTTTCTGGAAAGAATTGGAGACCTAGCTCTGCCAACTTGCATGGGGCGAGAAGAGATATAACCAACCCTGGGGGTGGCTGGTGCCTTGAAGACACTCCCTGAGTTATTAACACCTAATTAACATCAGTCTTTTGGAAGTATTATATAGGAACCTTGTTGCTGTCGTGTAGTTTAATTAATTAATTAATATTTATTTTATTTTAATTAATATTTATTCTGTTTTTACTGTAAACCACCCAGAGTCACTCTGTAGTGAGATGGGTGGTGACAA